TGTTGAGTTGGCCATGCCCAGCCAATCACATGACTACCAAGCCACACCCACCAACTAAGCCACGCCCACAGAACCGGTTGTTAAAAAAATTGAATCCCACCCCTGGGCGTGGCCATTCAACATCACTCGTGTTGGGGGCACCTGTGGTGGCCTGAGTGCTGTCGGTGAAAACAGAACTCTATTTTTGCTGACAGAGGCACAGTAGGCTGGTCCTTTCCAGTTTCCAGGGTGGCCCTGTGGGCCATATCTGGCCTTGAGTTAGACACCCCTGTACTAAAGACTCTGGAGCCCTGCCAAGGAAAGGGGACAATTTCGTTATGTGACTGGAAACTGCCCCTTTCCTGAAGATGGGAGAGAGATGCTGAAAAGTAGGCGTGGTTTTACCTGGTGGCAGGTGGAGTCATTCCTTCTTGGAAGCTCTTGATTAGGAGGATGGCCCATTCTGGACTAAATCTGCAGGTCTGGGAGTGCTTTGGATGTGGAAGCTGCATCTTCAGGATGCCAGGGGGTGGGAGTGTGCTGCTGCAGCTCCCAGGCACGTCTGGCTGACTTTTAGACCAGGGCTCTCCAACCTTGACGACTTTTAAGACTTGTGGACTTCAACTCCCAGAATTCTGGGAGTTGAAGTCCACAGGTCTTAAAGTCGGCAAGGTCGGAGACTCCTGTTTTAGACAGCCCTCGAATGGACTTACGTGGAGATTACAGAAACCAATCCAGATGATCCTGGAACCTTATTTGTATTGATGTTACGTAGTTCACGAAATGTCTGCCACAAAACAACCGACCTCAGAGAGCAGGCAGGGACCCCACAGTTCAGTCCTGAGCTTCTTTTCTATTGAAATATTCCTTTGCAAACATGTATATAAAATTGTGAAACACGTTTCTTAACAACTCAGTAAAAAATTAAGTTGTAAATATTTTGTACCATTAATTCCCCACCCGAGTTGCAAGTGCTGCTAAACATGCAAATTAAAAACACACATCATGTTGGCCAATTCCAGGTCATTCTTTGCTGTTTGAAAGCTTGTTCTGGTATATAAATTACACTGTTACGTTCTAGTAGTATAAAAATTCCTGTTTTTGTAATTCTAGAGCAGGTCTAGAAATGGAAACGCGCGTGATGTTATCTTTGCATACGTTGACCAAAAGGTTTGTCTAAGACTTCACAATGTGATTCTTTGTCCAGAGCAGTATCTACACAGCCAAGATCAGGGGCTATTTTTCCCCCATCAACAAACAGGCAACAATGCAAGTGCAGAGGCTCAAAGGTCAACAGATCCAGAAAGTCATTCTCAAGACCTTCTTGATAGAAGGCTGGCTTCATTCTCACACTAACCACAATATGCTTTGCTTTGCTGTTGATTATGTTCTGTGAATGCAGTCACCATGGTTTATTTAGGTAAAGATATAAATTGTCTTCAAGTAGGAAAATTGATCCTGAATTTTCCACATCTCTTTTTCAACTGTTGTCTTTTCCTCTGGATTGTGCCGATGAAGCACTAATCAAACATATTTTACTTCAAGCAGAAACAAAAGACAAATCCCTCTGGGACTGGGTGGAAAACCCTGAGAGGTGGGAGGGCTTTAACCATTTGGATGCCTATGTCCCAACAAGGAAGCTTTCACACATGCCTTATAAAGCTGGCCTGAAGCTGAAAGGAAAGGCCCCATTCCAGCTTGGCAAAAGCATTTCCCCTGGTTGAAGCTGTGGCAAGACACTCTCAAGCCCCATATCTGGGTTTCTGCAGGCATCCTGATCCTACCCATTTGCTGAGAAGCTACTCTATTCTCTTCATTTTTACTTAAAAGAACAGCTATCACCTGAAGATGAAAGCCATACAGTATACAGTAGAGCAAGACATCAAGAAAGACTTCTGCTGATTTGGACCTGCAATGGCATACACCTGTAGGTGTATACTAGTAATTCTGCAATTTTGAATGGTATCTGTATGTTTCTGTGTGTGTGTGTGTGTGTGTGTGTGTGTGTGTGTGTGTGTGTGATAGATAGATAGATATAGAGAGATAGATATAGAAAGATAGGTAGACAGACAGACAGATGTTTTCTTAAGTTTTCGCGGGTACTTACATGTATGGTATTCAGCTTTGTTCGGGTATTTTCCCACGTCATTATAGTTGTGCTTTTAAAGTTGTAGCAACGTTTCGGCAGAATCTCATTTGCCATCATCAGGCTTCTGTATAGTATTCGTCTGTGAGTCAACAACTGTGAAAGTCTGACTTACGGACGAACACAATACAGAAGCCTGATGAAGGCAGATGAGATTCTGTCGAAACGTTGCTACAACTTTAAAAGCACAACTATAATGACGTGGGAAAATACCCAAACAAAGCCGAATACTATA